ACACATATTGATAGATGTCTTGTAATGCACTGTTGAGGAACCTGTGACCCAGGTTTTTCATTAATTGCATAACTTCAACATAGTTGTGTATATGATATGTCAATAAACCTTAGAAAATCTTGAAAGGGATGTGCAAAATAGCTATTATATACAGTTTTTAATTAACTATTAGTAGAGAATAACAAGTAATGAATATACTTTATAGGGATCTGCAGATAAATGTTTAGTCTTCTCAAGCACCAACTAATATCTCGCCTGATTGTTTGCATTTGACAATCACCTTTCCCTGAATTTTACTCAGGTGTAACTAAAGTCTGCTTTAAGGGTTGTTTATATTTCACATCATTAACCAGAATCTGCAAAGTAACTAAAATAAATGTAGTGGAGTAAAAATACCAGGTTAACCTCTGAATTGTAGTGGAGTACAATTACAAAGTAACAATGAGCTGGCATGTGGGTATATATTAATGCTTCCCATTATGGACACAAGCGATTTTCACCCATTTATTAATTACATGTTTTACATTTGATAACACCAATGTGTTTCCTATCCCCTAAACCTCCAGGGCTGTACACAGTTTAATACTGTCAACTTCTAATTTTGGGAAAAACGAAAACGTCTTTTAAAACTACAATTCCCAGTAGAGACGTGCCATAGAACATGTTGCGAAACACAATAGCCAGCATGTGTAGTTCTGGGGGGGCGTTCGAGTCCAGTTTTGGAAAGTCTGCCGTGGTTTCGTTCCATTTCAAAGAGCTGTTTGGCGCTCGGCGTAACCTTGGCGCACTGCCACTACAACATCCAATCCCAGAGCTTGAAGATTAATCACGGGGTTTGTCAATGGGACTGTAGTCCCAAACGATAGCTGGGGATTATGGGTAGTGTAGTGTCTTCGGCCATCCTAAACTCAGATTCTTTTTTCGGATATCATATCGCATTAACACCATATCCCGACGTGCAATGCGGCTAAAACATCCAATCAGCGAGCTGAGGATCTTTCCTACGTCACTTTACAGCCCCGCCCACTTTTGGGGAAACCAGCTGTCATTTGAACGGCGATCAAGCCTGAAGCCACAGAGCTCTTCTGTCCTTTCTTCTTAGAGGAAGTACAGAAACACGTAACTCTGAATTTGTTTTAATGTTTGAGGTGCAATAAACGACACAGCAGCTTTTTGGCATGTTACAACTATTTCTGCCTCGCAGCTGGCGAAATTACAGCCTCGCCTACTGATTTGAATTTAACCATAGGATATCGAGCCCGATCGTCGATTTCAAATGTGTGCTCTAAAATGATATTTATAAATGACTATTATCATTATTATAAGCAAGACAATAAATGGCAAAGATATGTAGAAAATAAACGTATTTAAGATACGTTCATAACAAACGTAACGTGGGAGAAAATATGTTTCTAGAAGATATGTAGAAAATAAACGTATTTGAGATACGTTCATAACAAACGTAACGTGGGAGAAAATATGTTTCTAGAAGATATGTAGAAAATAAACGTATTTGAAATACGTTCATAACAAACGTAATGTGGGAGAAAATACGTTTCTAGCTAAACGTAATTGAGAATGCAGTTTAGTTCTGTGGGAACGTAATTTGTAGGAGACAGGGTTGCCCCCTGCTGCCGTGGAGCATGTGTGAGTGAGCATGTGTGAGTGTGTATGAGCACAACCACGGCGGAATATTCCGCCGTGAGAAGAAAAGGTTTTGTACTTGTAAAAAAAAGTGTTGTAGTTGTAAAAACAAGATTTGTACTTGTAAAAAGAAGTGTTGTAGTTGTAAAAAAAATGTGTGTACTTGTAAACCTATGCTGAATTTGTCTCTGAAACATGATTTATTAGAAAAAATGGTATGTGTTTATTTGATAGATACGTTTTTTCTTTGCAAAACTAAATGCATTAGTTTGTAGATGGTGTTTTTGTATTTGCAAACCACATTGTGTTTGTTAGTGAATCATGAGGCATTAGTAAAACCTGTTTAGTTTGTTTGTGGAGTTATGGCAGGAAATTAGCTCCATATGAATAGCCCATAATTCATAGCAACAGTGTCATCTGTAAATGAGAACACTGGGGAAGTATCCAAGACATGTGAGCACATCAGGATTACCCTGTATACATATAAAGTTAAAAACACAGCCATAAATAACCTTTTCCTATAGGTTCTTTGTGAGGAGGGGATTTTTGGAGGTTGGCTGTTTTATTAATCCTCAGAAAGAGTCTTTTTACAACCAAGCTGTGGGACGAAGAGCTGATATTCGATACCCCTTTTTTTTGCTTGGGCCACATCGGAAACGAAGCGGGTGAACTGTGGGGTTCACTCCCTTTGTGTGTCCTAATTTTCATATTTAGATACTCTAGTGATATACATATTTTGTTTGACTGTTTTAAACCCATTGATTGAAGTGTAATACAATTAATTAAATGTTGTTCATCTCTTGTTTATTTTTGGTTCAGTTACATTAAGTGTTTATGTATTTTCGAAATTGATACATTGTGTTTTGTTTTCATTGAATTTAATTATGTTAGTTGATGATTTAACTTTTGCTGATTCTGTTTTCTTTGACATGGTGGGTTTATTTGAACATTAGTTGAATCCTTTTCAACCCGGCTAATGGAATTTCAGTTGCTGAGAGCTGAATATGGTGGGGGTGCTGGTGTCCTGGGGGGTGGTCTCCCCCTTTTAGTGTACTGTGCTCCCCCAGGTCTTGATTTTCTTCTTAAGTGTGTCTGTGTGCATGTTGCTCAAGTGTGACTGGGTCTTATTTTTGATTTGGAATCCCTCCCTCCATCGACCCATTCCACAGTGCTAAGCCTCAGCTCCTGATTAGGCCCCCCTTTTGTTATCACTGCCCTGTGTGAAAGTGTTGTTGTTGACATTTTGTAATAAAATGTAATATTTGTATGAATTGGAACCACGTCTCCTGCCTCTCAGTATGATCACTGTGTCTGGCTAGTGGATTATTTGATGAGGAAATATTCTCACCTGAAATGTACTTAAAATACATCATCAACCCTTTTATTGCGTCCGCTGCCAAATATATCCTTCAACATTTCTGTTATGTTTTAAATCCCTGTGGACTAGTTTGTGTAACTGTAGTTTTGTGATTTTTTTTTACACTTGAAGTAAACAGTCAGCAGCTTGCAGTTTTACCCTCTGTCATTTTGGCTTAATGTTTCTTGTTAAGTTTCCATTTTGGAAAAGTAGAGAACCTAATCCTTCAAAAAGAGCTGTTGATGTCCTCACATTACTAATGATGAAATAACAGTAATAACGTTTGTGTCCTGCTGATATTTGCTAAGTAGCTTAGTATTGCACAGTATCCCGATTATTAAATGAAAACTGGAAATCAGCTTTCCAATTTTTGTATCATTATTGACCTCAATGTGGCCTAAACTAACACTCTGACAACTTCACAGTCTGAATATTTATTGGGTGTCCGAATGTAAGGTATATATGTACATTTACATTCATCTTAATCCGTGCGTGATACACCCAACTGCACAGTCTTTGTACTTCTGTAAGAAGACTCACAGGCTTTCACTTTGAAAGAAGAAAGGTTTAACATTTTAAAACACGTCTGCTTTTCATTTATCTCAATTCAACAGTAAACGTCCTAAATGTTAAAATTAGGTTAACACATTTCATTGTACAATATGTTTACTGTACGTACACACTAAACATTCAGTCAAAAGACAAGTCTTTTTCAAACATATAAATTCAAAGTTAAGATTTCTGAAACGGATCATGAGTTTTCTGTACTCATGTCAGCCTATCACACTATAATGAGAGAATTTGTTTGTTAGTTTACAGTTCACGGATATTAAGTGTGGTCCAGAAAACTCAAGGTTCCTCCACATTCATTCACAAAATCTTTCAGTAAAAGGGGAAATATTTTAGGTAAACGTTGTACATTTAAATACCATACAAAATGCACATTTAATAATAATAATAATGACATGATAAAAAAAATCGAATGCTAAATGGGGCGAAGCCTGCGAGCTAGTTCAGGCACTCAACTCGAGCATCAATGATACATTAACATGTGACGCACCTCGTCCCTCTTACAACCAACCAAACACATTCTCCTAAACATGCCGCTCTATTTAAGCTCCCAGGTCTTCCTTCCTCTGCCTCGATAATGCTGCTGCTGCCACTGCTGTGTTCACTTGCTATTGCTGCGTTCATGTTCCTGTTCCGGCTGCTGTGTTTCATGTTGCTGCTGCTTGCCTGACCCCCCACCACCCCAGCTTCCACCCCAGCTTCCACCTGTAGGCTCGGGGGATAGTTATCTAATCATCACTCAATGTTCTTTGTAAGTCTGTGGAGTGATGAGGCCCGAGCCTAGACGCCAAACTCAAACTATATGCTGCTTCTAATAAACATATTAAGAAGCACGTGAGTTGTCTGACTGAACTGAGTTTTTGTTTATCACACCAACACATTTTCTTGCTGTACTATAAAAAGGATTGTAGCGCAATTTTGCAGTTTTGTCATCGACTTCAGGCCCCGGAGAGCAAGATCGGTCGAAATAAACGTTTGTTCACATTTCTTTGAAACTCTCAATGTTCTGTCATTAGGGCTGCATGATACACCTAACAGTCTACAAATATTCTACATCAATGCTAACGTTATTCTACGCTTTATGTTGTCTTGTTTTAACCGAATAAAGAGGAGAATAACACAAAGACTTTGGGTGAGTAATTTAAATCAATCAAAGTTTCTGAGTAGCTTTCTTAGTATTTCTGGCATTGTGGTGGATGGTTGGGTCTCAGAGTATGTAGCAACAGCATAGTTAGTGAGGCGAGCATGGTTAGCATGCTAAAGATAGCTTCCCTTCACCGGACGACCTGTCAGGTAGATGAGAAGATCTAATGAGTCTGGTGTGTGTGTGTGTGTGTGTGTGTGTGTGTGTGTGTGTGTGTGTGTGTGTGTGTGTGTGTGTGTGTGTGTGTGTGTGTGTGTGTGTGTGTGTGTGGCCTCCATGTTTACACTTATATACCTTTTATCAAAGGCATATGTTAAAATAGAAATGTGCAAGAGTTTGTCTCTTTGAATTTATTTTGCTGATCACTGAAATTATAATTTTAACCCAATGTGTTTGTGTGTATTTTAATTCAAAAAATGTTATTCTTATAGTTTAAAATTAAATATTTACAATTTAGAATGCTAGCATATTAAATGTAACCAACACATTACAGTTGAACAAATGTAACATTTTATCATGTTTGCTTTTGTGTGCTAACATTATTGCAATCAGTTGGTATAACTTTCCTAAAAACAAAAACTCAATAATATTTGTAACACTTTACTCTCTCATTATGATATTACTACCTTTCTTAGCTCTCCTCGGAGTGGAGTAGATCCTGAGATTAGTGGCAATTTTTACTTAATCTGGAGTCTTACCCTGAATCAAATTGAAGTGAGTGATACTAATTGGTTGACACACTTAGTTATCATACTTTAATATTTGTTGGTCTCTTCCAAATATTCCTCAATGTTTTTTGTGCACATGATGTAGCACTGCCGCTAGCATGGGTAGCGTTATTTCTGACATTTGTAGGTGTGTTAGCATGTGTGTAACAGTTTGTAAAACACTGGGTCTGTCCTCAGTCTCTCACAGTAATAATCACATCATCGTCCTGTCCTTTCCACAGCATCTCCCCCTCAAAGTCCAGCATCTTGTGTTTGCGGCAGCGCAGAGCGATGCCCACCACCTTATCTGAGATCTTCACGTAGCGGTCAAAGAGGCGGCCGAAGGTTATCATGGTTCTCCCCTCCTTGTCTTTAATGCCCATGTCTTTGATAATCCACACCATCTCCTCCATCTCCTTGTGGACGTGTTTCTGGGCCCGGTCGCCCCTCTCTGCCGTCTTGGATCCGTCTTTGGGTCGCCCGTATCCGTCCTCGCCCTTGCGGACCCGCTGAGCCATGGCGTACTCGGGGTCGAACTCCTCACTGAAGGGGTTGAGCTTCTGGCCCACGATGTGCTGCTGAGACCACTGCTGCCAGCGGTTCTTGATATCACCTGTAGTGGTGATTTTAATCTGGAGATCAAAGAGGGCAGGCAAGTTAACTTCGGACTCCAACAAAGGGAAATGTATATATAAAAAATGTTATACATTTTAAAGATTCCTAATCGAAGTTAGTCCTAATCAATAACAATAAAAACACATGTGCTACAGCTGATGTACAACAATGGATGGATCAGGCTCAACATCTCAATAAAGCAATTCATAAGAATACCAGTTATAAAACGCCTGAATCGATCCTGATACAAAATATTGGATGGGGATGTCTCTAAACGTCACCTCCCCAGCTCTCTATGGTCCAAGATTTTTTTTTTATTTCCAAATGTTATTCAGGGGAGTGGAGCATGTGTGTTTATTAACAACATTTGTAGTGGTAATAGTTGTGTTTGGTCTACCAAAAGACCATGATTTAAGGAGAAACACTTGGCTAATGCTGCTGGAATTTTAAGTTTTTGGGACATTTTACAACATTTTCTGCTGACTTTTATTCGAACAAAGTCTAATTTTGTGTGGACTTATCCCCTGGACTTGCATATTTACAAGTCAAGACCAGAGGCCTGTACTACGAAGCTGGTTCAACTTAACCTGGATATGTTGGAGTTAGCCGGTTGGCGTAATCCAAAACATACGCGCTGGCGCTAAACTGTACTACGACGCTGGATATCAAGTGGATCGCTCAAGCCGCCGTGTCCTATCTAGTTAGGTGCGCGTTCACATGAAAGGGGTGGTATTTGGAGCATTCGACCAATCTCAAACACGGAGAAGCGTACTGACAGCGCAGCGTCATACTTCCTGAATGAAAAGTGAACTTTAATATTAGTCAAATATGAAGAAGTTAAACTTTAAACATCCATGACTTAAACACTTTACCCAGGATAAAAGCCACATAGCTGCACCTGCAAGGTGAATACAGCTGGTAAAAGAAAAAGTGTTTGAATGCGTACATTAACAGGTTTATGAAATCACTGGCCCGTCCAAGACACGAGTGGATCTGACTTTAATTAGGAGAATTTGACTTGAGTGTTTCATCAATTTAATGTGTTGCTTAAAATAATACTTCTGCATACAGTATGTGACACTGTGAGTGTTGCACGGCCAGATACGGCTCAAGAAGCTGACTCAAATAAGGAAATATATGATACATTATGATGTGATATGATATGAATGATAATGGGACACATCTACGTCTGCACTCACAGTGCCGCGGACTGTACTTAATGTTACTCTGATCCGGTTACTTATGTCGTGGCAGATATTTAAGTAAGCTTTCTTAACGCTAATGTTATAATAGTCAGATTGCTCTGAAGATGGGAGGGGATATTCTATTAATTTTCACGTTCACACAGTCAGTTGATTTTGGCCGGTCGTCTTTCCTGCAACGGCAGTTTAAACTGTATTTCCTTTCTCCTCCTGTCATATGAATTGATCGCTTTAAACTCCGCACACGGAGCTCTGATTGGTCAGCAGGCAGTGCTTTCACTGAGTTGATCTCTTAGCCTGCCACCTAACCTGCTCCGGAGCAGGTTTGCCGCTCAGCATAAGTTACCATGGAAATCTAGCCTGCTAAAAAGAGAACCAGCGTCGTAGGACCGGAAAGCCCGAGATTTCCCTGAATTTAGCCGGCTAAGCGAAAATCCAGCTTCGTAGTACAGGCCTCTGGTCTAAGACCAAGCAATGTTCAGCCTCTATTGAAGTCGGTTAGCACTGATATTAGCACTAGATTACATTTTTCAATAGTTTCTGTTCGGCAAATGTAACATTCTATGGAAAATATGTTTCTAGGACCATTGAAATTCCAGGAAGAAGAGTACTACACATGATTTATATTCTTTTTAGGTCAACTCTTCTTTTGGAAGGAAAATAACCCTGATGACTTAAAAATGTAATCAGCCTTGATACCCCAACACTTAAATATAAAAAATCTGCATTTCTGAGAATGTGGAGTTTGACCAAAAGGCTTTTACAAGGCAGCAGGTCTAATGCAAGATTCTAATGAGTTTCACTTTGGGAAATATAGGATCCAGTGTTGACCCATACTGGCAACTTCCAGTCAGGACATCTCAGCCTCCTGTGCATGCTATTCCCATATGTTTGGCTATTTTGTGTTTAAGCTTTTGTTAACATTTGGTCAACTTTTCCTTTTTTCGCTTCCTGTCCTTTAGACCTGCTTAACATTTTTGCATCAGACCCCATCTGTGTCTATATGTAAATGTTAACGATGCCCCTTAGTCTTAAAATAACCTCTTCTCTAGAAGGTGTAATTGATCCGCTGCTTGGCCTTTGCTAGACATCCAGAAATATGCACTAATGGAAATACTGTGTGTATGCTCATATAAACCGACATGCACAAACATTTCATTTAACAACCGCGAGGATCAAGTCAAGGTTCTCAAACCTATTCTCTTGGAGATTGAAAGGCTTATAAGCTGATTTATAATACTTTTGTGGTTCATATCCTGGTTTATCATGGTATACTATCTGCAACATTTTGGCTATAGAGATGTTTTCTTTGTAAAACAAAATAGATGTTATTAACACATATAAACTTTAAACTCTTCATCTCTTCTTTTTCCTCCGTTCCTTCTTTTTTAGTTGTTGTTGTCATACTTTCTTTCGCTATACTTTCTTCATCACAATTTTCTCCCCCTAATCTGTCATCTGTTGTCCTACCCTGACTTCCCTCCCCCCCCCCCCCCCTCCCTCCTCCTCCTCCTCCCTGGGTGTTTTCCTCAGATTGCCAGGCCTTCAGATCAGTGTCACCATATGTCTTTGGTATTCGCGCTATGAAAAGTAAAGATGTGTCACAGAGGGACCTTTTACAAAACCATGTGAACCCTTAGAGTGATAATACTCCTGATTCAATTCAATTTGTTTCTCCATATTTTTTATAAGCAATAATATGAACTAAAATAAAAATATTAGGTTCAACTTAATATTATTGCTTTCAACTAACCTAATGCAGTAATGTGAAATGTGTTGACATAATACATTTCATTAAAGTTAACGTTTCAGTTTTTCAGTGCAGATCTGCCTTAACATTCAACCAACATATCAGTTTTCCTGTAACAAGAAAATAAATAAAATCAAACTAGTTTAATTCAGTTGGAATTTACATTACATGACCATTGCCAATTAATCCAAATAAAGATCAATACAGTTATTGAAATCAAATCTTTTCTCTCTGTCTCATTTATAATTGTTCTCTTAATGTTTGTGTAACAGTGTGTGCCTCTCATTTCTCTCCGTGTCCCTTCACCTAATTTCCCCCTCCCCGGCTCTTCAGACCTGAAGGTCAGGTAGCACGTTGCAGAGCATGACTATAATTATTTTCATATATTCCATTGCGCAGTGTTCCAGCTTGTGTTTTTATGGGTTGGCCGCACTCTCTGGCGACCCCCTCAACAAGTCAAGGGGGCCTCGGGCCGCCTCCTTTGCCCTTTATAGGAAAGATGTTTAGCATCAGAGTTATGCAACTGTTTTTCAGTTTGGTGTCCATGAGGGAGTCGGATTTCTTGACATCAATGCGATCTCTGTTTAAACTTGTTTATTCACGCTGTGGGACTTGTGTGGGAACATTTACGCTCTAATTTTAGGGTATTGGTTCTCCACTTTGTATTTTATTCAGGGACAGGAACATTGTTGTTGTATGGAAAGCAGGCAGGAGAAACTCGTAAGGGTCTGGTTTAAGCTTTAAAAAAGTAATTAAAGGGCAATACAACTGTAATCTGCTCTTATAAGGTTTTATACAAGCCTGTCACCAACAACAATAACATGTGCAAATGACCAATTCTCTCACAACCTCTATCACAAAATAATAGGTTTATGTGTTGGCCAGAGATATTGAAGAGTGTGGTCTTTTCCACAATCAGTCTGTATTCATGTTATTTTCTGCACAAACCTCGAAAAGGGACCTCTAGCAGCTTTGACCCAGCCATATTTATATTTTTGATATTGATCACTTTTAAAAGTTGTTAATGTGTAAGCAAACAACTGCCTATCTTGCTAAGGGAATACCATACATTTATATTTATTTGGAGTTGGGTTTTTCTTTTGTTTGGGTTTAAGTGGCTAATTTCTCCTTTATGTTCGGCTAACTATACTGGGCAGGAACCTTTGTATATAACTTGCTGAAGACTTGGTTTAAATTGTAGAGACTGTTTACCTAAAACAATAGGATAAAAGGGGCTAAAAAGATCTGTAGAGATGGGTTTATATGATCTGTTCATTACTGTGAGGGACCCCTTCTCATTAGACGATCCATGGTTAATATAAAAAACAATGCTTGGTGTAGTTTTACATTTCAATGTTGAATTATTTTGGTAGCTTGATATTTGGTAACTTTGGTAATGTGTTTGCATCCAGTTTCCAATCTTTGTGATGAAGCACTCTACCTTGGGCCTGTTGGTCTGTTTCTTGCTCAGGATGTCACCCAGCTCAGTTTTTGATTCGCTGTTGTCGCTGAGCCCCGCCTCCTCTCCCAGCCCGCTGTCCTCCGTGTCCAAACTGCTGCTCCTCGACCCCAGCTTCTTGTCTCGGATGCTTCCGTCAGCCGCGGTCTGCAGCGCCCTCATCTGGCGCCTCCTTGTCGGCGACTCATTACCCAGGAAAGGCTTGCTTTCTTCAGGCCCTGCTTCCATCTTCCCTCGGATGGCGTTTACCACGGAGCTGCTGCTGCACTCGCTGCGTTTCGGCTGCACGGACTTGGCCACAGAACCGGTCCGGATACCGCTGCTGTCACTAGCATCGGCTGTGAACACTCGAGGAGGGTTGGTGAGCTTGACCTCCCGGCTGCACACTTTTTCGTCCACCCCTTCAACAGAGTCCGGCATCCAGCCGCTGGGGATGGCGTCCTGTGTGTCGGAGTGTTCGGTGGCCCAGCCCTGCCAACTCTTAGCCAAGTTGGCCACCATAGCGGCACATTTTATTTTCCGTACGGCCCGTTTGAAAGCCTGGGGCTCCTGTGGGGAAACTGTGCTGGTCCCACCGCTGCTCATTGTGACAGGATACCAGAAGAGCTTCCAGAAATTGGTATTTCTCTTGTCTTCTGTTTTTCCGATTGGTAAAGTCTTGCAGGTTGTATTGTGGCAATTCCTGGAGTTGTCTTCAAACTTTTTGAATCTCTTTTGGGTGAAAAGAGTTGACGTAAATCTTGCTTTTCTCTGAGCAAATACTCAGTTATTGGTTCCAAATGAAGACTTCAATATTGGAAACTCATCGCTTGAAACTTCCAGGTGATCACAGACAAAAACGTAGCCTTTAAAGCCGTTGTGGACGTCCACAGAAGCTCCAGGACCCTTTCCAGATTGTCAGTCGGTCAGTGGGTGAGCTGCTGGTGTGAAGAGTGCAAAGACTTTGACTTTAATCCCCGCTGAAGCCCAACACCGGCCTTTAAATAGGGTGAGGGTCGTAAAGGAAGTGATGCTGCACCGTGGCCACGTGAGACAGGAAAGTCCAGTGTCAACATTCTCACAAGTTCCCACACACACACACACACACGCACACACACACACACACACACACACACGCACACACACACACACACACACACACACACCCACACACACACACACACACACACACACACACACACACACACACACACACACATACGCGCACACACACACACACACACACACACACACACTGAGGAGTGGAATTTCTCCCAGGGAACAGGTGCCAGTGTTTTTAGCGACTGGGGTTTCTGTCACACAAAAAATAGGTTGAAACACAAACAGGCTTTTGCTCTGAGTCAGAGTGTGAGTGTGTGTGTGTGTTCATTGTGTATATATAGCGATGTTTTCATTCAAATATGCAATTTTCCTTTATGGAACGAAACAATATACTTTGATGACTTTGATGGCAGTGTCAGTGTGAATTTCTAGATTGCGGGTCACATGAAAAGCATCTGAGCGTGTGTGTGTGTGTGTGTGTGTGTGTGTGTGTGTGTGTGTGTGTGTGTGTGCGTGTGTGTGTGTGTGTGTGTGTGTGTGTGTGTGTGTGTGTGTGTCCTTGCATGTGAAGCGTTTAGTCTGTGTTTATCTGTGAGTATGTGAGTGAGACATTCTGGCTCATGGCTCTCGGTGATGGATGCAATTAAAGTGACTCAATATTGGCTTCAAAAGCAAAATTACTAATTGGTTCTCTTATCCCTTATCTGATATATGACGTAGTTAATTTTTTTCATTAATTATATTTGTGTTGCTTGTTGGCTGGTTTCACTGAATATTGTTTTGCTGGGGTCTTGGTATGTTATTTGCCATGTAATCAATCAGTTATTATTTTTTATTTATGTGTCATGCTGAGCATTTGGCCCATGCCACATTATTATTATTATTGAATATAACGGCAATCATTGCCAATACACATCATTCAAAAATGAATATATTTAACATTTAATTTAGCCTATTATTACATGCTGATGGTAACTTTAAAACAACATTTCAATGGGCTAAAGATCAAATAATGATGGTGGCCAAACGCGCTACAACGGCCTAAAACACTGACATTGGTAGAAACACGCTGCACAACAATCTCTGTCACTGAAAACGTACTTAAAATGTCTTATCGGCTTATTTAACAATGTGATCACATGATTCCTTATGATATGATTGCAGATCTAATAGCTAGCTATTGTAGCTAAACTAGTCATTTCAAATAAACTGACAAAATACTTAGTAATAAAATATGTAACAGACTGACTCTGCCAACAGGGACAGTTGGCCAACTTTAAAGCCCCCGAACGTCAATAAGTGCTCCGGTCCTAGCTTTGTGCATCACCTTTTAGTGTCCCCTGGTTACTGTTGTGTTTTGAGCTTCTTGCAGCGTTTTTTCATTTGTAGCGTTTTGTTAATGCAGCGCTTTTGTTCCGGGGGTTATGAAGATGTTTCTTCATTTGCAATTTGTATGGCACATTTGCGTTTTTATATTTGCATCGTTTTTGAAACTGCAGCGCGTTTCTCCTAATGTAAGTGTTTTGGGCCGTTGTGGCGCGTTTGCACGTGTCGGCCCCCGTAGTAGGTTGGACAATAAACAGCAGGGGGAAAAAAATAAAAGCTATTGGCCTTAGGTTTATCTTTATAAAGTTGTATTATCTCATCTCCCATGGTTTTAAAAGTACTGACAAAATGAAATGTTTCTTATAATAATACTAAAATAAGTCTTTGAGCATCATCCATATTTACAATACACTTTCTGAGCCACATATTCTAAATCGTGAAAGAAAAATCCTGTTACTATTGATTGTTAAATTCCCTGAATATTCAGACTTTTCAACATGTTTTCAAAGAGTTTGTATTTTGTTTTCAAGTTATCTCAAACGGTGCATTTCTCCCAGTAGATAATCAGACGCATCTCTACTGTTATTTTAATAAACTGACTGCATCTCTATGTTAATGTGAAATTAGTTTGTTTGCGTTTGTAATGAACAAAGAAGCTATACTTTTCCATAAATGTAATGAACTAATGATTTATTTTTCAGCACATACCCCAGAGATTTGCTCTCATACGGCTTGTTACATAATATGTAAATGGAGATCTAAGTTTCTCCTTGGAAAAACTCATTAGCGACAGTCATTATAATGAGCACAGGGGAAAGTGTGTTAAAAACAGCAACATTAATATGGATTGAGTGACAGATTGACGGAGAGATTTATGGTGCGATGAATGATTAATAAACCACATGCAGTTATTAGTGTTCATATTGTATTAGGTTGTGTCTTTAAACTATGGTTCTACTGTAATCTCTTTAATTCTTTGTTATTTCTGCTGTTGTCATTATGCATATATACAGACAATACTAAGTAATGTTAATTAAAAAATAAAAAGACCACTGCAGCAGTATCAGTTTCTCTGGATCTCCTATTTATCGGTATGTGTTGGAGTAAAATGAATTTTTATTTTATTCTACAAACTACTGACAACATTTCTCTGTGTTGGAATTCAACAGACACTGGAATAGAATCGCTGCCATACATGTAAAGATGTAGAGATTTAAGATTGAGTGGTATTTTTTCATGATCTGTACATATTGTGCATTTTCATTTAACAGCTGTAGTTTATTAAAAATGTCACATTCATTTATGCAAAATATAATCAAAATGTTCTGGTTGTTGTATTTCATAGGTAAGATACAACTATTGCCACATTAGTAACATTCAAAAATGACGCTTCACATAAAGAGTAATCAAAGAAATAAAATCTTTCAGTAGGAGATGTGATGAACACATTAATTCACCAATAATTATAATACAATCCTGTCATATATATTATTCTCAAATGGGCTATAGTAAGTTTGAATGCAAGTCTTGATATTTTTGAGGTTTGATATTATACTTTGCTATAAGTAAGAGTTCTGAATACTTCCGCATATGTTCCTCCTTAAAAGTAAATATAGCTGAAACATTTTGATATTCATGTAAAGCCAAAACACATCTGTTTTAATATTCTTTTTATTTTCAACAAACATAAGATTATACATTACAAACACCTACTCTAAAGACAACACAAATCAAAAAAAGCAACAACCCAAAAGCCAAAATATACGCAGTCACTAAATAAGGCTTCACTTTATGCTTTTACCCAATGTGAGAACTTATTGTTATATTTGTTACGCCCATAATAACACTTAATCCTTTCTCTTTCATGTACAGGGCTGGGGAGTTTTTCAAGCCATATTAAAATATAAAAACATAAATGAAATATAATAACATAAAGCATTTGGTGTTGTTTATGACATTTCCTTTGACCTTTTTGCATCACCATCAGACACATAATACATCCTAAAGATTATCCTTTTAGGTGCTATAGATTTATCTGATAAACCAAAGCATAATTATAGAAAATGTTGAGTATGATGTTCGTGAGAGTGAATTACCAGTCTTGCTTAAACATTTGTATCTGTGTCGCAGATAGACAAAGCCCAATGAGTGTTCTGCATGTCTGAGGACTAAAATAACCGACCAAGCAGGGGCCAAGCAGTCACCAGCTCAGGTCCCTGGTGTGTGTGTGCGTGCGTGCGTGTGCGTGCGTGTGTGTGCGTGCGTGTGTGTGTGTGTGTGTGCGTGTGTGTGTGCGCGTTTCAGTTTCCCGACCTCATGCCAGCAGCTGCCTCGCGTGCACGCTCCCACAGCTCACTGTGCACGGCAGGCTTGCACAGAAATAGACATGGCAGCACTTGAAAGCTGTGATGAAGGTGTACGCACAGAGAGTAACGATCCAAGTATTTATACATGACTTCATCAGAGGAAATACTTCTTATACTTTAGGTTTGTGAGCCATGAGCTACTGCCTGGATAATAATGCTGATTCCTGCTTTTGTAAGCATACTGAAATTAGGACTATTTTTTAATCTTAGTTTTGGATTTTGGTAACAAAGTAACCCCAACAAATCTTAAATAAATTGTCCCAGGAGAAATATTATAACATAAATACTGAAATATATGTATTTAGAAAATAAAAATAAACGCAATTTCTCCCACTGTGTTCATAAACAAATATATCTACCATGACTACATGAAGGGGATAGACAAGTCTCCTATTATACCATTTTTAGGCATATATTATAGGTCTCAGATATATAAATAACATGTCTCTGAAGTCATCACCCATTCTAGACATCCCTCATACCCCTCTATTTCAGCCCTGTTAGAGAAGTGCTGATTCTGGGTCCGTAGCTTTAAAAAAAAAAAAGACAGTGATCATGCAGGAGAATTCTACCCAGATACTCTGCTAAACGCTGCCGTGATTAAACGCCATATCATGTTCCAAACCACATCAAACATTATTTCTGAAACAGTATGGAGCTCAAATGCTTTTTCTTTTGCGGGTTTACTACAAGGTGAGTTCCTTTTTATATCCGGCTTCTTTACACATACTCTCTCCAGTACAGGTTAGCTCTGAGCAGTGGCGTAACTATCGGCGGTGCAGCCGGTGCAACGCACCGGGGCCCCGAGCCGGCAAGGGGCCCATGCAAAAAAAGAAATATATATATATATATATATATTTTAATATTCTTTTTTCATATTTTTTTTTTGGGGCTCCAATGGCATTGACCGGTTCACGCAGTCTTCAAAGTAACCAAGCAACCTAAATTAATTTGTAATTTGTCTGTCCAATGACCTTGCTCCCTTTCATGTCATGTGATACCTTGCATGACGAGCGAACCGTTTAATCAACCTGTACTGTACTGTAGCTAGCAGCAGCAAGTTCGGCAGCATTATAAAAAATGTAATAGCTTGCATTTATAATGTACAGCAAATCAAAGCACAAGAGCGGCGCTCAAAAGAGAAAGGACAAGAGAGAACAAGGAGATGTAACAGCTAAACTGACGAAATTAGACCGTTTTTTTTGTCAT